CGCGCAGGTGAGCAATACCGACAGCCGCTGGTGATGCACACCATTGGTGAGACCCGCCGCGAATACCGCTGGCGAGAGAATGCTGAACGAGCTGTGAGAAGGCCTGTCCCTGGCCAGCACGAATGCATGCCAGTCACTCAAAATGCAGTCGAGCCTTTTTGGGAACCTTGCGGAATGTTGCACATGCCTACACCGGCATGAGTTGAGCGAGTCAACAGGCATGGCAAACCCTTATGGTGAACTTACTTCAGTTTCCGCTGTTTCCCTTGAACTGTGGCGTCTGAAACAGGACAAGAGGCAGTTAGAGCCATGCAGCAGAATTGTGCCAGTGCATACCAAATATCGCCCTTGGAAATATGTGACGGCTGTGCCTACCCACAACCGGGATGTGATCACGAACGGAACGCAGCCACGAGCATCACAACACAGACTGGCTATCATGCCCATCTGTCTCAAGAACGGGACGTCCCTGACACTTTACGACAATCCTCCACGCGGACTGTTCAACAGATGAGCCCTCGAACGGCCGGTCGGTTCGGCATCGGTATGTACGGCTGCTGCTCGCGTCAGTGGGCCATCAGTACGCTTCAGTGGACAGTAACGGCACGCGCCGGCGATCTGATAGGGCCATCTGATGCCGCCGCGCGCTCCTGCACTCACCGCCGTGCGCGCGCGACTGCCACCATATGATGGACGTGTGCAATAATGCAGACACGACATGCAACAACGCGTACGGATGCGGCGAGCGCGCTATCCGGCAATCTTGACGCCCGTGGGTCCAGAAGCCAGCTGAGCGATCGCAGATAGCCGTCCGAGTTGGGGAGCGCAGAAGAGAAACGTGACGACACGGTACGATACGCGAGCTGTCCACGGAAAATCCGCACTGCATGTGAGGTTATCGGCTCCACGTTCATGGACTGAGCTGCGCACTTGCGGCTGCTGCCGGGGCAGGGCCGGTGACGCTGGTTTGACCGAGGCCGTCTCCGTCTACGATTGAGATTCGTGCGGCCCGCAGCGTGTATGCGTGCATCAGATCTTTAGATGTGAAATACCGTATACGAAATATCTGTTGTGGCGTACTACATATGACATTGTTATGAAATATTTTTAGGTGAAATCCGTGTCATGAAATACCGAATACTGAAATCATACACGTAAATGACAAATCATTGCGATGTTCAATATCCGTGATTGTCGTCATTGGAACTTAACGACACAGCAACTAAGCAGTGTCGGGTCGTCTGCCTCTCATCCTGGCAGGAAGACCGGGCCGGTTTGGCCGGAAATGGTACCGCGGGGTGTGGAACCTTGTACCCATGGTCAAGGTTTCGCAGACAAGCAGCTTAACCAAATGCGTTCCACGCTTTTATATCTCCAGTGACTGCCCAGATCACACCAATCACGATGCACCACGATACCCCAATGACACACGCGATGTGCCCGCAACTCAGACTCATACCCAGAAAAGGCGCAGCAGTCCGTATAGGAAAAAGCAAGACGCTGTCTGACGCAGCAGTAACGGTTTACTACCAATCAGCCGCGAACGACCGCCCTCCAGTGTCGATCGCTCGCGAGGATTGGGTCTTTTACAACAGCGGCGGTGCCCCAGCGGCTCCGTCCGGCTGCTCGCGTCCATCGGGGCGTGCCGCGTGTCTCCTGCTGCGCTGGAGCAGATCAGCCTGTCCCTCACATCAGCGTCGCGGCGGCGCCGTCAGCCTTGCTCCGCTGAGACTGGGGTCACCACCGAGACGGGGAGAGGATACGTCACAGCCCCCCCCCCCCCCCCAGGGACTCAGGACGTGGTGAATGGCGCGGAGGTGGAGGTGGGCGTGTCAGTACCTTGTCAGATCGAGGTCAAGCCCATTTTGTTTTGTTTTTATTTGAGAGCTTGCCGTATCACAGTCGCTTTTGGTGCTGATTTCGAATCTGTTATTAGCATGAGGTTAAAACATGCACTAACATCCACTTGGGTCGACATTTTGTTTTTGGGAGATACCACCTGGCGTAATCCTTAGCAATTATTCAAATGCGAAAGTTAAAATAATTTCGTAGGATTTTGGAAACCATGACCTTCTTAAGGTGACACAAGGTCACGGACCTGGAAAAGAAACCAGTGACCGTTTGGTTAAAACGGGTATCTAGGTCTACGTCGGTTGCATGAAGAGGTCTAGGGCATTTTGGACATAAAACTGGAGTTTTACCTTGTTTGACCTAATTTGACGGAAAGGTCCTGACTTAGAGCCTTAAATATTGTGACAAACACAAGTGAGCCCAAATCCAAGCGATCTCACCCTATGAATTTAGTGTTTCGAGCCTCTTAGTTCTTAAGCTCTCAGCAAGGCCCAATTAACCTTTCCCCACCCGAGCAAAAGGTATTCAACCGTCCACCTGGGCGCGTGTTAGAACGTTCCTCAGTCGCATACCATGTCATTTGATGGTGACCAACAACAGCATGACATACTGACCTTTGCTGGTGACCTCCAGTGACATTGTGTGCTGGGCCGTTCCGTGCCTGTTGGAGGCCAACACCACGTATGGCCCCGCATCAGTGACCTTGACCTGGGACAGCCGCAGGCAGTATGTGCAGTCCTCCACCAGGTCAAATGCCTCCAGACCACCAGACTCCTGCAACAAACCAGCATCGTCAGCATCAGTGACATGGAATGCGTTTCTGGTCATGAATCTATCTTGGGAACTGATGTACAGATCCATCTTCGGCGATGCATAATGGAACGCGATGAAATAGCCGCGACATTCAACGATGCATCAAAGACCCAAGGACATCAAGCCATTGCAAATCCACTGCCGCTCGGATGCACACTGGCAAATATGAACTCAGCAACGTGACTTCCGTCTGATTCATCCACAGCGCTGTGTCCCAACGCATGGGCACTTTCGTAGGCGCTGGCTGACGCGCTGGACAGCGCACAGTGACCGTGATTCTTCCTCGTCCCCAGGTTACTTAACACCCAGATGTAAGCGGTCGGCGCGAAGTGGTTGCGGCGCACCCTCGTCCCCAGCTTACACGCCACGCAGGGCCAACTGGCCCGTTTGTGAGAAATAAATCACAGCCGTTTGTAAATCAAGGGTCACCGCCGACGATAATGGCGGGTGTTGGGCTTGGCTGGGCGGCCGGAATCCGCCGGCCGGCCGGAGCCGTGTGTTTAGGAGCTGGATCAAAGCCCAGCAGCCGCATGTCGCGACCGCGTGGGACACGGACTTCAGGCGCGCGACAGTGGCGCCTCAGTTATGCCCAGGTGCGTCAGAGGCTGAGAACACAGTGGCAGCGAGCGCCTACGGGCGAGATACCTCCCTGTTCTCAGTTGGCCCCAATCCACATCGATGGACAGGCAGGTCTTCACATCCAATGCACACAAGTTGATGATCAGGGGCACAACAGGATTTTCTTAAGGTGGCACGGAGCTCGGTGGCTGTGCTTCAAGACGATTTTCAACTTTCTTTCGGGGGCCATCCAAGGGAAAAACAAGAATCGGAGCTGATGAGGACCACTCGCCCCCGCCCCTTGGCCGTGCCCCTGTTGATGAAACACGCTGGGGATAATCTACAGCCTAGGGAATTACCCTGGTGAATCTGTGCCATTGCGGGATTAGGATTGATGCCCACCGGAATTTCATGCTTAATAAAATATGCTTTCCTCCAAAATTTTATTCATTCTGGCACTTATCAAGAAGAAATAACCTACAACATTCATGAATGGCATACTGTTTAACTTTTGGTAGCCGACAGCCCTGCACAGTTGCAGAACAGAAGCGAAGCAAAGGATATATCAGGACGCGTCAAGCCCATAACATGACAATACATTCAGATCAACCATCAGCACTGGTGTTTACCGGTTTATAATCATTTGCCTTACTTGCAATTTGCATGATACCTGGCATGTAAATACATGTGGTATGCTTGCCTTACTGCTCGTGCCTTAATGCAAGCCAATTGCAAAACCTGTTGCAAACGGGCAGCCTTCCTCTATAATGAAAATTGATGACAGGCATAACTGGAATTAATGAGCGAAAACCCATGCTGATATACAAAGATGCAATGCAATGGGAAACACCGGCTCGAATGTTGTTAAACAACAGAGCATCGTCCACTGGATACAACTCCAGGGAGCCCTCGCGGGGTCGTCCCTCACCCTGCCCACTGTGCACACTGAACGATAGCCCGAAAATGGGGCAGCACAAGAGGTGAATGAAAGCAACTGCTTTCTTATCGTCTTTTCATTCTAACTGAATGCATGCGTGCACTAAATTCAGTGCACTAAGATATCATAGTTCACTTATAATTAAATAAGTGAGAATTATTATGCAAGGTGTTAAACATGCTGGCCCGAAGCGTTTCCGAAAACAAATCATGCAGCAAAGTCACGTTGGGTCACAAGAAGCGATTTGCACGAAGGGCTCAGCGAGGCGGGCAGCTCTGCTGAAAGCCGCAGTGCTCTGTGAACGTCCCCATTATCCTCCCCTACCGACCGCGATTTGTTGCGCTGTGCAAAACCTGAATTTGAATTCAGCACACAGGTGAGGGCGGGATCGGAACACATCTCATGTTCACGTGCTCAGCGCGGGGTTACAGGGCACGAGCACCTTGGCTCGTGCTCAGCGAGCGAGCGCATCAGGTCTGGCCTCGCCCTGCGGCACCAGATGGCCTCTTCGCTTCTGAAAATGCCGAGAAGCAACGCACGTCCAAAGCGCGCGCCTCTTCAGGAATACAGCTCAGAGCCTGACAAACAACCCATAAATCTAGAGCTATTTGTCCATGTCGGCGGGAGTCAAAGGCACCATTGAAAGAACTGTCCATGATAAGCGCAGTGATGATGCGCCACACGACAGTGAGGAGGCTGCAGCGAAGTAACTGTTCTCCGTGGCCGACAGGGGCAGTGTATGGGTGCATTCACTCTGTGCATTATATAGGTAAGATTCTTTGTGTTTTATGATCTCGTGCAAGCTTAACGACAGTAAAAAGTTTTCTCACTGTCGAAACCCACCACTTACGTCGGGTTTGCTGGAAAAGCTTCTCTCCACTACCTCTTCTCTCTTCTCTCTCTATTCCTCCCCTGCGGTTTGCTTCTCTAATATAGCTCCTATCTCTTCTATTATCTCTCTCTCTCTCTCTCTCATCTCTCGCCTCTCTCTCTCTCTTCTCTCTCTTCCATCTCTATCCTCTCTCTCTCTCTCTCTTCTCTCTCTCTCCTTCTATATCTTCTCTCTCCTCTCTCTTCTATCTCTCTATACTCTATTCTCCTCTCTCTCTCTCTCTCTCTCTCTCCTCTCTCTCTCTCTCTCTCTCTCTCTCTCTCTCTCTCTCTCTCTCTCTCTCTCTCTCTCTCTCTCTCTCTCTCTCTCTCTCGCTCTCGCTCTCGCTCTCGCTCTCGCTCTCGCTCTCGCTCTCGCTCTCGCTCTCGCTCTCGCTCTCGCTCTCGCTCTCGCTCTCGCTCTCGCTCTCGCTCTCGCTCTCGCTCTCGCTCTCGCTCTCGCTCTCTCCCTCCCTTTCTCTCTCTCTCTTTTCTGGGACTTTCGGTGTCTCGGCAGTGATTTTACCACCAACTATCGGGCACAGAGCTCTGGGACTTTTGGTGGCTTGGCAGTGATGTTACCATCAACCGTCGGGCACAGAGCTCTGGGACTTTCGGTGGCTTGGCGGTGATGTTACCATCAACCGTCAGCACAGAATATTGAACGGGCGAACTCACCGTTCGTTCTTATTGATCGCCATTGTATCAGATAGCCCCGGTCCGCGCAGGCTCTATTCCAGCGGACTGGGCCGTTCCGCCAACACAGACACGGATCGCTCTCGATCACATAAACACGCGCAAAGGTAGTAACTTCAAATTATAGGTTCCTTACGAATATAATTAGCCACCCATCTTACTTCCACTGAATAGCCTTTACTGCGTAAATAACGTCCTAGATATCCTCGACAAATCTTGTTAGCGGGTCCACGGACCGCAAACATGAAGCCACTTTTAAAGGACAGCGTTGTTCTCATCTCAGCAAGGGACTCAATGATAACAGCGCGGGTTGCGCTCCGAGCCGTGTTTCATGCCGACAGATTATATGCCTGGTGTCCAGCTGCGAAGTGGGGTCGCTCGGAAGCCCAGCGCCCCGTTAATAAAAGTTAAATATCGGTGAGCACCCAATATCCGTCCAGTACCAAAGTGGCCACATGAATATCAATCCCGTGCTCCGGGGCTGGCTCCGTAGTCAGGTAGAGAAGATTTTGACATCATGCCTCGGAAGCACGCCATTTCGTGACAGGAATACACATCTGGATGGACATTTACGACCGGGAGATTCCGGCGTTGCTGGGAACCAGAAGCGGCATCGCAGCCCTGCTCTGTCCCTGGAATGGGAGCCCGGTCGGACGCACCGCTGCTACACCGTCGACTGCCACGGCGCCACGGCCGGACCGCTGCGAGGTGGTTCTACGCCATTAGTGCTACGGCGCCACACTTCTGTACTGGGCGGCGAACGCCGCAGACTCTGAGGCAAATTCCTGCGCGTCCACGGCGGACGGCGCGACGCGTCGGTGTCCGGTCCTCGCCGCGACCGCGCCATATTTGGCGCACGAAGCCGCTCTCGGCGTGGCGACGGCCACCAGCGGCGCAGGGACAAGGTCCATCATCAGAGGCGCAGGGACAACGTCGACCGTCAGGGGCGCAGGGGCAAGGTCCATTATCAGAGGCATGCGAATGGTGACGGCCACCAGAGTGGCGCCGGTAAGAGTCGACCATCAGCGAATAACGGACGGGATCGACCAACTGCAGCGCACGGACAGTGAGGACTGCCGGAGGCCCACGGAGGACGCTGGCCACCAGAGGTGCAGGGGCAGCGTCGTGACACGCGTGCGGCGGACATGGCCGCTGAGAGCTGACCGGGTACGTTCGGCAGCGTGTGACCCGGGCCGACACTAGGACCGATCAGCGGCAATACGTGATAACGTGTTGCCAGCGGGATACTGGTGCTTATTTACCGAAGTTGCAGGGCACGTCTAATGCACTGTGTGGTAATGGTTGCAGGTGTCAGCCAATTCCAGCAGAATACAAGCAATAAGATATGCTTAATGCATGCTGATTACTGGAGGTAAGCCCTTTAAATCGCACCAGCTCACCACTGATACTGCTCGATACTCATTTCACAGCTACGACATTTCACAGCTGATCAGCTTGTATAGGTCCGTACAAATCACGCGGTAGGTCTGAGGATCTAGCCAATTGCTCTTTGATTACAATTTGAACGGCATTTTTGCCCATCAAAAATTATCTTCGGTTTCCAGGAGCATGTGAAGATCATGAGAAGCGCCTCGCAAATCATCGTGCGCACATCCCTCCATAAACAATCAGGTGCTTTGGGCGTTCTCACATTTAGCGGCAGACCCTGTGTGCGGCCTCGCGCTGATGAGACCACAGACAATTATCAACAAATGTCTGAAACTGTGAGAAGTAAGAGCTTCACATCCACTGGCTGGGATCGAGTTACCACTGAGTGTTCTATATTAAGTGAAAGATCATCAGTTGCTGAGCCGTGGTGCTATGTGTCGCAAACACACATAACTTCGTATCGGTGCAAGAAGGAAGCGTCCAGAGCAAAATCGTATCTTAACCTCCCGAT